CGTAACATTATGAGAATAAAGTAATAAAATTACGAGAATAAAGTGGTAACATTATCAGAATAAAGTCATAAAATTAAAAAAATAAAGTCGTAACATTATGAGAATAAAGTAATAAAATTACGAGAATAAAGTGGTAACATTATCAGAATAAAGTCATAAAATTAAAAAAATAAAGTCGTAACATTATGAGAATAAAGTAATAAAATTACGAGAATAAAGTGGTAACATTATCAGAATAAAGTCATAAAATTAAAAAAATAAAGTCGTAACATTATGAGAATGAAATCGCAACAAGAATGGTCATAAAATTACAACAATTAAGTCGTAACATTATGAGAATAAAGTAATAAAATTTCGAGAATAAAGTCGGAACATTACGAGAATAAAGTCGGAACATTACGAGAATAAAGTTGTAACATTACGCGAATAAAGTCGTAACACTATGATAATAAAGTCGTAAAATTACGAGAATAAAGTCGTAACATTATCAGCATTAAGTCAAAATTACAAGAATAAAGTCGTAACATTATGAGAAAAAAGTCGTAACATTACGAGAATTAAGTCCTAAAATTACGAGAATTAGGTAATAATATTATGACAATAAAGTGATAAAATTACGAGAATAAAGTTCTAACATTATGAGAATAAAATCGCAACAAGAATAGTGATACAATTACGACAATAAAGTCATAAGATTATAAGAATGAAGTAATAAAATATTGAGAATAGTCATAAAATTACGAAAATAAAGTTGTAACATTATGAGAATAAAATCTCAACAAGAATAGTGATACAATTACGACAATAAAGTCATAAGATTATAAGAATAAAGTAAGAAAATTACGAGAATAAAGTCGTAATAAGAGAATGAAGTTGTAACATTACAAGAATAAAGTCATAACATTATGAGAATACATTCGTAAAGTTATGAGAATAAAGTCGTAAAATTACGAGAATTAAGTTGTAACATTACGAGAATGAAGTCGTAACACTGAGAAAAAAGTCGTAACATTACAGTTGTGAAAATACGAGAATAGTTATAAAAATACGAAAATAAAATTCTAACATTATTAGAATAAAGTAATAAATTTACAAGAATAAAGTCATAACATTATGAGAAATAAGTCATAAAATTACCAGAATAAAGTCATAACGTTATGAGAATAAAGTCGTAACATTACGAGAATAAAGTGATACATTAATGAGAATATATATTCTAGTTGCGACTTTATTCTTGTAGTTTCATGACTATTCTCATGAGAATAGTCATAAAACTACAAGAATAAAGTCGCAACTAGAATAGAAATAAAATTACAAGAATAAAGTCGTAACATTACAAGAATAAATTTGTAACATTACGAGATTAAAGTCATCAAATTACGAGAATGAAGTCATAACATTATGAGAATAAAGTTGTAAAATTACGGGAATAAAGTCACATTTTGAGAATACAGTGATAACATAACGAGAATAAAGTCTTAAAAACAAGAATAAAGTCATAACATTATGAGAATGAAGTCATGAAATTACGGGAATAAAGGTGTAACATTATGAGAATGAGGTCGCAATGAGAATAGTCATGTAATTTCGACAATAAAGTCGTAATATTATAAGAATAACGTAATAAAATGAATATAATAAAGTCTTAAAATTACGAGAATATAGTGTTAATGTTATGAGAATAAAGTCGCAATGAGAATAGTCATAAAATTACGAGAATAAAGTCGTAAAATTACGCAGAAAGATTTTGACTCAAATTTTTCCTTTAAGAATCCAAAGTTTGTATCGTAGGAAATACCTGAGCAGCATTAAAATAACTTGACTTGTAGCGTTTCTGACTCTTTCTGCTGCTTCAGAGCAGAACATGAAAAGTTTTTAATAGTTCAGAGTGAGGACTCCTGCATCACAGAGAAGATCTTTGGCAACGTCTCCAAATCCATGAGCACAGGATGAGCTGATATAACGATTTAGGCTAATATTGATACCTGGTATTTATATTATTGGGAATAACCAATAACTGGTTAATTAGCTGCAACTGATTTATGGATTCGGACTCATTTCATTTCATTTTCACCACCAACCTAAAGATTTCCTTCATTCTTGTTGTGTCTCTAACTTCCTGCCTCCTGAGCTCAGCTGGGTGCTTTGTCCATGTCTCGCTTGTCCATCAGGGCTGGCATACTGTCGACACCTGTCCACCGTGCGGACTCACCTGTCAGCTCTGGTCAACCACAACATCGTCCCCCCCGACAGACCATGTGAGGCGTCAGGAGGGCTCAGCAAAGAGGTGTGGAGCAAGTACCAGAAGGACTGCAAGGTGGGTGCAGACTGTCAACCTGCAGGCTGCTGCAGGAAGCCTGGCATCAATGCAGGGATGTAAATCTGCCCCCCAGTCGCTGCAGCTCTTTATCACAGGGTGGATTTAAGACCCCCACACCGCTGCCCGGTGAACCTGAGCTCAGTGGGATGAGCTGAGCTGTGCCGCTTATCTCTATGGGGAAATAAGGACACCTCTTCTGCTAGACGTGAGAGTTTGTTGAAGCCCAAATGCAACATATGAGTCGCCTCTGCACTGGGAGGTTCCTGCGCCTCCACCATCAGCTCCTCACCAGAACGTTTAGCTTCTCTGAAACATGAGAGGATGCAGCAGTTGGGTTTCTGTTCGGAGCTCCGGTCTGGAAAAAATATAAAGCTAGATAAGTCTTTTTTTTCTTAAAATAAGTGCATTTGTTCTTGGATTGAGGAGGTAAAAAAAACATTTTACCAACAAGACAATTTATATTTAAAATAAGAAAACACAATTGCATTGTCTTATTTCAAGTGAGCTTATTTACCTACTCAGATTAAGGGTAAATAGAGTTAATTTGAGATTTTTTAAACTTATTTCTAGATTGTTTTTCCAGTGCGTGACAATAGCTAGCCTGGTTTACAGAACTTTTTCACAATCTGCATTCCACTTATCGACTCCTTCCTTTACTTTCTGGCCTAAGAGCTGTCAGCCTGAGAAACGTTTCACATCTCCTAGCAACCAGTCCAGCTGTGGCAGGATCCAGTTTGATGCAGCAATAACTGGCATGCAGAGCATGGATTAGTTGCTGCAAAGCTTGGTGAGATGATTGTCTGCCTGCCAGCACAGTGTGGCATGTAACGTGGCGTCCACGGCCCACCAGAAACCCTCCCTGGGATATTCCAGACCTTTGCTGTTCTGACTGGTTTTCCTTATCTTGTTTCTTTCAGGTTGGTTTTAGCTGAGTGTGAAGCAGCCTTTAGGCCGCAGCAGTCATCAGGAGTTATCAGCAGAAAGCATTTTGGTTTTTATGTTTAGCAGTGAGAAAGAGGCAAGTCTTTAATTCGATGGTTGATGCTTCTGCATCAGAGATGCGTGGGAGGAAAGGTCGCTCGCTAACGACGGCTTCTTTCATGTGTGAAACAATTAAAAATGTTTTCCAAAAAAAGCTCCTGAGCAACTGGAAGCTGAACAGCAGCGTCTGTGTCCACAGCAGTGGGTGTTGTGAAAACACTGATTCATTCTCTGAGCCTTTTTGCTGCTGAAGGAGCCAGAAGCATCTAACCTCCATAACTTTCTAATTAAGCTTCACTCCCTTCTTTGTTCAACATGTTTCTTCTTCTCCCATCTTCACCTCTGATGCAGTCAGGCTAACCGTAGGCGTCCTCCACTGTAATGAAAATGTAATGAGATTTAGTGAACTGGAGTCTCATTAGTGAGAGCAGTGTGATACCATCACAGCCATTAAGGCAGCGGCTGTAATCATTCATCAGCTCCAACATTCTCATCATCACTGATTTACTCTGTTCATATCTGCTTCCTTTATCTTCAGCATTCATCTGCGTCTTCTTCTCCATCGCTCTTCCTCTCCCTCTGTTACAGACGCGCTGCCGTCTCTCTGTAGGCTTCCTCTCCTCATGCAGATCCTTTCTATTTGTGTCTCTAGAACTACAAGGAGCTGGAGCTGCTCAGGCTGGTCTATTATGGAGGAGTGCAGCATGAGATCAGGAAGGAGGTTTGGCCCTTCCTGCTGGGACACTATAAGTTTGGGATGAGCAAGAAGGACATGAGCCAGGTATGGCACGCAACCGTCCGCTTAGTTCCCGCCTCGTTTTGCTATTTGCCACCTGATCTCTTTTCTTTTTTTTGCTCATGGAGATTGATGCCAAGATCCAGGAGCGCTACCAGCAGGTGATGCGGGAGTGGAAGGCCTGTGAGGTCATCGTCAAGCAGAGGGAGAAGGAGATGCAGTCGGCCATCTTTGCTAAGCTGTCGTCTGGCAGCAGCATAGACAGCCACGTCCTACGGCTCGCTCACAGAGACTCCACACTCAGCAATGAGGTGAAAAGGAGACTTTAGGAAACAAGCTGCCTCATTTTTCATCATTACTGTCGGGATAAAGTGATTTGATGAGATGCCCAATTAGCTTTTCCTCCAATTCCTGTTCAGTCCCTTCCGTTCATCTTTTCCTGATTAATCGTTCAGGGCTGTGGGGGGGCTGGTGCATACCTCCGGCAGGAAAGCCGGGGTACACCCCTGACAGGTCACCAGTGCGTCACGGGGCAACCCAGATGCACAACCATGCACACACGAACTCACACCTGTAGAGGATTTAGGGAAGCCAACAGTTTTTGGACTGTGGGAGGAAGCTGGAGTACCCAGAGAGAACCCACACATGCTCAGGGAGAACATGCAAACTCCATGCAGAAAAAAACACTAAACACTAAACACTAA